CCCCCCCCCCCCCCCCCCGGAAATGAGTCCCACCACTGTTGTATCATCTTGGCAGCCTCTAGACCTACAAAATAGTTCTATGGTCTCTCCTGCATTTTCCTGGGATATTTCAGAGGGTCGTAACTTCTGTACTTCTTATTCTCCAGGAAGCCTTCATGCAGTGCTGGATCTTGCCAAAGTAGCTGATACTCTCCTTTTCCTGCTGGATGCTGCAGATGGCTGGGATGCTGTTGGCGATCACTGCCTCTCCTGCATCTTTGCACAGGGTCTCCCCAGCTATGGTGAGTCTAGTGCCCAATGCAGCCTGTTCTCCATCCATCCAGTAAGGTACAAGATGTTTGGCAGGCTACAATCCTTGCTGTAAAGCTGCCGTCCTGTAGGACTTGGAGAAGTATAATGCTTACTTTTTTATCACTAACCCAGCTATGTGAAATATCTGTTCCCTGACACTAAATTTGGGTCTTTGATTACATGAGTTTGCTTCCCCTGATGCTCTGTAATTGTTATTGCTGCTTTGTTGGTATTCTACGGTCTTTTCTCATGATTTGAGAGCTGTGATGGCATAGTAGTTAGAATGCAGTACTTCTGCTGACTGCTGTCTGCCTGCAGTTTGGCAGTTCGATCCTGACCGTCTCAAGGTTGACTCAGCCTTCCGTCCTTCTGAGGTGGGTAAAATGAGGACCCAGATTGTTGGGGGCAAAAGGCTGACTCTGTAGACCACTTAGAGAGGACCCTGAAGCGGTATATAAGTCTTAAGTGCTACTCCTAAGAGCAGCCTCGGTGGCGATCCAGAGGACAGGCCAACTTCTCCAGCTGTTCTGTAATCAAGGAAGCCGTTCTCTTTCTTCCCTGCAGGCCTTGCGGTTCAGGGTCTGGCTGAGCAGCCGCCAAAGAAGCAAACCGACTGCCGGAAGAAGCTGAGCAAGGGGACCGAGAAGCGGTTCCCTGGGGCCAGGCTTTTCCCTCTCCACACAGAGCAGGAAACTGCGCTCCTGCTGCAGCACCTGGCTGGCCAGAAACAGCAGCACTTGGCCTTCCGAGACCGGCGGGCTCACCTGCTGGCTGATGCGGCCGAATTTGTGCCCAGCTCCGAAAGTGCCGCGGTGGGGACCTTAAAGGTGTCTGGCTACGTGAGGGGACGAAGCTTGAACGTGAACTCCCTGGCGCACCTTGTTGGGCACGGAGACTTCCAGATGAGTCGGATGGATGCTCCCCCGGACCCGTTTGCCCTGAACCCCAAGGGCCCCGGAGGACAGCTGGTAAGAAGGAAGAAGCAGGCGGGGCCTCTTCCTGGACCGGGTCTGACGGAGAGGCTCCTCCCCCACCCTGAAGGGGGCGTGGTCCGAGCTGCTCTCTTGTGCCTCTTGCAGGGCGACCTTAGCAGCAGCGCTGCCGAGATGGAGGAAGAGGTGAAGGTGCTGAGCACGGCTGACCCCGCCAAGCAGGAGTCTCTCCAGGCGGAAGAGGTTCCGGATCCAATGGAAGGAGAGCAGACCTGGCCCTCGGAGGAGGAGCTGAAGGAGGCCAAGGGTCAGTCCGAGAGGGCTTGCCTTGGCTCGGGTGCCCTGAGCTGGAGGGCTCCTAACTTGGCAACCGTAAGACTTGTGGGCTTCCCTTCCGAGAATTCCCCAGCCAGCCAAGCCCACAAGTTTGGAAGTGGCCGAGTTTGGAGACCCCGGTCCGTGGCCGGCTTATGAATTCTGGGAGTTGAAGTCCACACAAGTCTTAAAGTGGCCAATTTGGAGAGGCCTGTCCTAAGCCACGTTTCCTTACTCCCGTTTATGCTCTATACTGCTAGCCACAGCTTTGAATTATGGTGGCTGGATTCGCTGAGACGGAACTGTAAAAACCAGAGTATAGCTTGACTCTGATGTGTGAATGTTCCCCGTCCTCCCTCAAGGGCCAGCCATCTGGAACCACGATCCCATTGTGGGGTTCGAGGCCGTGTATATCTCCCTCTCAATGGTTTCTTCAAGAGCTCCTTCTTATTCCTGGCTTATTGTATTATAAAACACACACAATGTTATATTTCAGTGCAGTGGTATTTATACAGTATTGACAAGTGGCATTAATATATTGATGATTAAGGTAAAGCTTTAAGGATAACAAAAAAAAAAGATCTTGAAGGGCTTAATTTTTTTTTGTTCTTTTGATAGCCTGGTTTGCTCTGTGAAAAAAACAGTTCTTCAGATTCTTGATCTGTACATGTTTTGCCAGGCTGGATCGGACAGGCTGGCCTAACCAAGCCACAGTCTGCTGTCCTTGGCCAACTCACAGATGCCCAAGGAGCCTTCCTGGTTTCCAGGCCTTTTGTTATTTTAAAGGAGGACGTAAGAAGCCCCTGCTATACGTTGAAGCCGGATGGGCCCTCATAACCATGGCTTTACACCAGAGGTCTCCAAACTTGGCTACTTTAAGACTTGTGGACTTCAACTCCCAGAATTCTCCAGCCAGCATAGCAGAAACAGAAACATAGCTACAGATAAAGCAGATTGAAAAACAGAGCTCAAGGTTTTTTGTTTTTTTAAATGTTGTATGGATAATCTGTTAGATTCACAACCTAAGACTGGAGAAAACTTAATAATTCAATTCCTAACCAAGGACCTAAGAATTATTAAAATATGGTGTCTTTTATGGTTTGTTGCACAGTCAGCCAGATGTTTATACTGGATTGGCATTTTTTATTTACCTAATGAATCCTCCCCCAAGGACCTGGGATAGATAGATGTTGTTGTTTAAGGGTGTTAAAGATATCATCGCAAGAGGCGAGCTGTTCCAAATAAAATTCCATGAGGAATTTTAAAAGGCAGAGAAATGACAATGCAATTCTATGAACAAACCAGAATACTGTGGATCAGTAAGTGATTCCCACAAATTGCAAGCTCAGTATTTATTCATTTAATAGGAATTAGTAAATGTTTATATCCACATTTCCAAAGATAACTGAGAATTTATAATAAAAAAGGTTTGTATAAAATGCAGGGCCTTGACAATAAATGAGTACTCAGAGAAGTAACAGCGTAATTGAAACATTATGCAAGAAAAGCAGTTGACCAGACCCTGTCAACATTAGCAATGTAAATACGATTTGGCTAGCACAAAATAAAGCTTTGACATTTAGGAAAGCATCCAAATAGAGCAACTTAAGGAGTCCTCACATGCTAAGACCCTCATCTTGTGGGATAGGAAATTGGTATCTCATTATGCAATATATTTGTTGACTTCTCATGAGGCATTTATCAGGACCTTGAGTTTATGCATCAGTCCCCAAAGCCAAAACGATAAATATCACATCTCAGAAGTAAAAAAAAAAAAAAAA